CAAATATTTTTCCGATGTGTTTTGGATATTCGAATGACTGCTGGTGAAGATACCATTTTGTTTTCGTTTGCATAAGAAAGAATATCAAGCATTTTTCTTTTTTAAATTTAATTAGTCACAATAAAGAAGGAACGTTGCAATGCTACATGCTACATTAACGACCTCTCTAGAGTAACTGAATGACGGTTCATGTAAAAATCGCAGGTAAGCGTCTCATACAACAACGCCCCCTATAGTTCGTTGCAAAAGAAAAAAAAATTCTTTTTTGCCGCCATTTTTTAGAGCTACAAAAATTCGTCTTTGAGATTTGCCAAAAACAAAACAAAATGGAATTTTATTTTTTCAGGAGTGAAGCATTTTACCAAAAAAACGAAAATGTACCAATTCCCATGACATGAAACTTTATCTTGGTAGACGTACGTTTTGGAAATGTTATCTCATTTGGAATCCTATTTATTAGAGTTAATATGGCGACATCATCTGGTGAACGAAAATAGAGAAAATTTGGAAAACATTAATAATAATAGAAAATTTGGAAAACATCATAGTACATTCCTATACAACTAAAAACAGGATTGGTGTTGTTGTTAATTTACGTCGCACTAGAGCTGCACAATGGACTATTGGCGACGGTCTAGGAAACCTCCCGGAGGATGATCCGAAGACATGCCATCACAATTTTGATCCTCTGCGGAGGGGATGGCACCCCCGCTTCGGTAGCACGCGAAGTCGAGCACTTTACGGTAGCACAGTCTAATGAGGACCAATACCGCACACCCTCGGTCCCTACGCAGACTGATCCAAGTGGTCACCCACCCGCACACTGACCGTAGCCAGTGATGCTTGACTTCGGTGATCTGCTGGGAACCGTGTCTTAATCAGTCCACTGCGGGACCTAAAAACAGGAACAAAGGAGAAGGGTGAGGGTCAAGACATGGAACCGATTTCCACCCCAGATGACATATTAAAGCGTTGCGATCACGATCTTGCTGCAGTAATAATAATAAAAAACTTGTGCAGGATTTTGGGAATGTGAGGGAGAACTCGTTTCGAGTTTTTGCCGGAAAATATTTTGTATCAATAATCTGTTTCGTATGGATGGGTAGTCTATTGTAAACAATAACAAGCGTCCTTAAATCGGAAGAAATTTAGAAAATTTCCGGTGTATCCCTCCACTTATGTTATGACTACGAGGAGATGTGTGAACAAGCCTAATATTCTATGCAGTTTTGTTATTGTAATTCGGGTTCAAATCTAAACATAATTGTACCATTCATAAGAGCTTTCAGAATGTATTGATTCTCAGAGGTCGTAAGGCCAAAAAAAAATTTGGAAAGTTAATATCTCATTGTGAATAATTCTTAAGGTTTGCCATGTTTTGTATTTTATCCTTTACTTGGCTACATTTGAATGAAATGTTGCCAAAAATATCTTTTTAAGTTAGCCTAATTAGAAAATATTCTAATGATTATAATATTAATATGATAATGCTGAAGTTTAAAGGCTGAAAGAAAGAACTCGGTACATGTGAAATACTGCAAAAGATATAATGCAATAATATGATGGCGCGTTTTTTCTATCTGCGGCGTAAAAATATATCGGAAGCAGTAACCCGGAAGTCTTGAAAGAGCAATTTTACCACTAGCGCCACCACCCTTAGCTTTAGATCACCCATCCATTTCGTAAGTTCGTTCAACAACAGCATGCGATTTCGACAAAAAAATAGAGGCAGTGAGAATTGTCCCTTAGAAAAGATAGTGCTGATAACTTTGAAAAGATTATTAAATATAGCTAATATGTAAAATTTTAATAATCGCATGAAATTTTTATAATTTTATTTCCTATAATTGCTTTTCATTTATCTTCTCTTTTTCCACCCATTTCTCCGAAAAAATTTTTTTTTTAAATTTTGAAGGCCTAATTTTTTTTTTGATGCCCTATGACTATTATTACTTTTATGCATGTGGCATCACGAAATCTGTACACCGACAAGAAGTGTGTTAGCACTAAATTCTAAATGTCTTTCTAGTGTGTGTGAATGTCCTAATTTTAAATCATGAAAGTAAGTTAAAATGCTTATTTGCACCTACAATATTATGCAAAATTGATTTTTTGATCATATCTAAATATTTTGACCATGATATGTGGCCATATATAATTCTTGTTTTGCTGATGTTTACAGATTTCCGTTACTTAATCGTTTCTTTACGATTAGTGTTAAGCTGCTCCTATCTTGAGTTTCATAATTATTTTTAAGATTTGAAAAATCGAAAATACCTGATCTTTTTTATGCATTATTTCTCGTTTGTTGTACACGGAAATTGTGTGTTTGTTTATATAGCACTTTGACGACAATATAAAATTTCGCTGTATCTTATTCGTTTTAAAGGCTTCAATTTTAAGTTTTAATTAATTCTCTCCATTTTGTTATCTTCCATTTAGTCTACTAACTTTTGTTTCGTAAGCATGCTAGTTAAATTATAATGTCCGTTTTCCATTTCTAGCTAAATATATCCTATCCTGCTACTGGGTGCCAGAAACTCATCGAAATTGATGATGAGAAGAAACTTCGTATGTTTTATGAAAAGCGTATGGGACATGAAGTTGAAGCTGATGGACTTGGAGATGAATGGAAGGTAATTTCCTTTTTATTTTCCTCTTTTCAATATTTTCAAAGAGGAATTGGTGTTTCCTGTTCATATTTATTTTATTATGCATCTTATATCCTTTTATTTATTTTTCTGATCTTATGTTCTATGTCAATTTGAACCATTATATTCAAAGTTCAATTTAATTTGTATGATTACTATGAGATTTTTTTCCTTCATCTTGAAAAGACACATGGAGGTTATTTTGAGATTTAGGCATCTATAAATTTTGATTCTTAAAGAGCTAGTCACCTTTTCGTTCTTTTATCTGTATCATTTTTTACATCCTTATTTATTTGACTGTATTCAATAAATCAAAGAGATAGGCAGCATTTTTTCTACCTCAGTAGTGTATCTGCCAAGTCACCTGTTTTTTAATGAAGACTTGTATTTCAATACTACCTCCTGTTTACTTGTGTATTCTCAAATTTCACCGTATTTGTTGAAGAAATTAAAAAAAAAAAAGTTATCGCTTTAAAAAATATCCGCTAATGGCGAAAATATCTCTTATTCCCCAACAGACGGTGCAGTATGTTGAGTGTTTGTAGTTGTCTTAGTATAAAATAATTATAAATATTAGTTGATTACAATTTATATACATTTTTTTTTACTTTGGTAAATCTCTGTATTTCCAATTTTGAATTTTTCTTTTTAACTTACATGATTATGCCCAATGTATCAAAACTTTACTCATGGTCTATAAAAAGTCGCTTCTAAAATCTCCGGTTACTTTATTTCTCCAATGTTCATAGGTATGCTATAGAGACACTTTATCAGTTACTGGTGTTATAGAGTAACTGCATGCCTGCAATTTGACAAATCATTTTGTTTTTACATGTAGCTGCCATTTTTAGTTTTCTCTTTATTTTTTGCTCTGTGTTTAATTGATTACTACTTATTTACATTGTTCATGAACTGCATTGTTATCTAACATAAATCTTCTAACTATATTAAAACTGACTGTGTTACTTAACTGTACCTACAAAGAATTTGATATGTCAACTAATAACTGATTTTGGCAATACTTTGATAAGCTGTTTTATTTAGTTTAAACCATGCTTTTAACTATCATTTTAATAACCAATTTTTGATATCTCATGATATTTGTCAAAACCCTTACATTTTGGTGTAAGTACCATTATAAGCTATTTGTATAAATCATTCTATTTGTTAAAATTAAATATATATATAATTATTAATGCATAGCTGTCAACTCTACTAGGTTTTGCTAGTTTTTATTGGTTTAATAAATATAAATAGTTAATTATTAAATTATAAATGAAAATGTACAGCTATAATTCATCTATTATACGTCTGATTTGTTATTTAGCTTAACTTTAGAAAATTATAATATAAAGAACATATATTACATATTATAAATAAATATACTTATCAATCATGAGTAAAATCAAATTTTATTTATTTCCACTTTGACTACCTCTTCCTTTCTACTTTGACATGTGATTACAAAACAATTGTTTAAAAGCTAAATTGTTAATTATATTTCAGCTATATATGAATAAAGCCAAAATTCAAAATTTTTCTTTCAATTGAGATGACTGCATAGATTAAAATCCATGTAATAAAACTTATAAAATAAAACATTGAAATAATATGCAATTCGGAAATTTATTCTAATAATTGTGCTAATTGCTCATAGTAATTGTGTTCTTTTTTTAGAAGTAGAGTAACTTTTCTAAAGTATTTTTTTACAATAAACTATATAATCTCAACATTTTTGATAAAGGAAACTAAGAAAATTAATTTGATTTTACACAATTCTAAAACGAATGAGCATGTGTGTTAATATAAAAAATCAAAATATATTGTAACAGTAAATTAATTTTTAATTTTTCAACCAATTATCTCCTGTGAATATTTAAACAACAGTTGCAGGGCCACCATTGGCAAGTAAGATGCAATTATTTGGTATTAAAATCTATTTGGTATTAAATTTTGTGGCTGTAGCTTGATATTTTAAAAGCTGGCTGCTCATTTTATAAGAAGTTAATTGTTTTAAATATAATTTATTGCCAAACTAGGAAATCTGCCAAGTATAGTTATTGACAGATTGATTTAAGTGATTACTTAAAAAAGTCTTAAATTAATATGCAATTATGGTTAATCATATTTATGAATGCTAATTGCAGTAGATGCCTTGAAATTGCAATTCCAGCATTTATTTTATGAATAGGTTGCCTTTCAAATTATTATTTAATAAAACCAAGCCTGAGCTACAGATAAGAGGCTATATGTTTTTTCACGCCATACATTTTACTATCTTTCCTCTTCCCAAATTAAATGAAATATAATAAAAATTTTGTTAAATTTCTCCTATTCTAAATTTTTCTCAGCATTTGTTGTATTTATCAGACCTAATACATCAGGCATGGGCAAACTTTCTTGGTCGAGGGCAAAATATTGAGGAAAATAAAGTTTGGTGGGTCGAGTAGATACTTCTAAAAATTAAAAAAAGACATAAATTTTAATTTAAATATTTAATGAAATTGCGATTTCATTTTTAAAAGTTCCTTATATTGAGGTTCGAAGTGAGATGTGCTTATTTTAAGAAACGAGGTTAAATGCTTGTCTGTTAGTCTATTTCTGAAAGGATTTTTTATAAGGTTTATAGTTCAAAACACTTGTTCACATAAATAAGATGAAGCAAACATGGCCCTAATTTTCTGGGTTTTACAATGACATTATATGTGTGCAATCTTTCCATACTCAATAAATAATGTAACAACTCGCGCCGGCAGAAAAAACCGCTCCTTCGAGCTTAAAATTTCGCGGTCTACCACATGTGATGTACAATTCACCTATATTAGTTTCCATATGTATGCTCCTCGAGGAAGACAAAAGCTCGTTGGGGCCAATCTACGGCTATTCTATAAAGAACTTCTGCTTTCAGCATTTTATATTGAAGCTGTCTGTATTCCATGTTGTACTATTTCCATCAATTTATGTTTTGTAGAACAAAAATAGGAAAAGTAAAAAGGTCATCAGTAGCTTTAAACATAGTAGACAAGAAAATGGATGTATAATGTATCTTGTTTATGTTCACCACGGATAGGCGAGTTAAAATTCTATCCGGAGGCCGGATAAAACCTTCCGGCGGGCCGTAGTGTGCCCATCCCTGTAATACAGCATAACTCATTGCATTTTTTCGCATACGTGTGTTAACCTTTGTCTTGAGAGTTATTTATGAGATGCTGGGATATATTTCTTTTTATAGAACAAGCTGAAAATTTTTTACAACTGCTAATTTGATATTTAATTTTATGTTTTTCAGAATTACGTAGTTCGCATTAGTGGTGGTAATGATAAGCAGGGATTTCCCATGAAGCAGGGTGTTTTGACATCTGGTAGAGTTAGACTTCTTCTTTCTAAAGGACATTCTTGCTACAGACCAAGACGAACTGGTGAGAGGAAGCGCAAATCTGTTAGAGGCTGCATTGTTGATAGCAATTTAAGTGTTCTTTGCCTAGTTATTGTTAAAAAAGGTATGAATTATAAGCTATGATAACTATTTTGTTTAAATTATTCATTTATTTTATGATAATTATGGTTATAATAATTTTTTCATGTAAATTAGGTGATCAAGATATTCCTGGTTTAACCGATACAACTATCCCTCGTCGCCTTGGACCAAAACGTGCTAGTAAAATCAGAAAATTATTTAATTTGGAGAAGGATGATGATGTTAGACAGTTCGTAGTAAAGAGGCCTTTACCTCAGAAAGAAGGTAATTATTTCATTAAATTTAATTAGTTCAGTATTGTGTTTGATTTGTAGTTTATAGGTTTTCAAGTATTTTTTATTCAATAAATGTTCGTATACAAAACATTTTTGGATTTATATTTTTAACTTTTTTGTTTGTTTACCAAACTCATCCCAATGGCATGAATTAATATAGAGTTCTATAAAACTTAACGTTTTCTATGAAATGTGTGATTTTTGAACAATTGTGCCAAAATGAGATGGAGATGAAAGGATTAAAGATGGTTATGCATGTAAATCAATGTTTTTATTTTTTCTGTGTCTGGGAATATTTAAAAATGTTGGTCTGAGTGACTTCTTACTTTCTGTACTTTGTTTTATGTAATGAATGATATGATTAGTTTAAATTTAAACTAATTATAATAATGATTGCTGAAAAATTTCATTGTTTATTTTTTGTTCTTTCCATTTTGTCGAGTTTCTTTGAGATAAAATTAAAATGCTAACCCTGTCTTTAATTTATTTTTAAATTGATTATTCTATGGGAACTGTAGTTCAGTTTTGTTTATAAACTTCATCTTAATGTTACTGTTATTCTCCAGCCAAACTTATTTTATCCAATATTTGATTTGCTGATAATAAATTCTATCTTAAATAGTGCTATGAGTAGTTCCTTTATAATGTGTACAATAATGTAGTTTATTTGAATGAATGGTTAAAGATAAGAATGATGACACGATGACGAGCCTGAAGAGTTTTTTCTCATCAATACTATGTAGGAGGGAATGAGTTCTTCATTTTCATTTACAGATGTGTTGCTGAGAGATTCTATTTTTGATGTATATTGAGGCATTTGTCTGATTTTTTGGTTAAATTTAACTGTTTGCACTGTGATCATGATTATGATGAATCGCTATAATATCAGACTAGAGTCTTTGATTTGATAATGAAACTATAAAGCAATTCTGATGTCTCATTTTAAATTTGTTATAGTTTATGTACTGTCCCTGCATTTATTCACCCACTGATTAAGCCGGCTATTCTAGTTATCTACTTTCATAGTAGGCAAATTAAAATATTTTAGAATGCGTGTCTTTTTTCTATTATCCTTCTAAATTGATTATTCTGTGGGTACTGTAGTTTTAATGTTTCACTAGTTCAGTTATGTACTTTACTTAAATGAATGGTTAAAGTTAAGAATGATGACACGATGACGAGCCTGAATAGTTTTTTCTTGTCAATACTATGTAGGAGGGAATGAGTTCTTCATTTTCATTTACGGATGTATTGCTAAGATATTCTATTTTTGATGTATATTGAGGCATTTGTCTGATTTTTAGATTAAACTTTACTGTTTGCATTGTGGTCGTGATTAGGATGAATCGCTACAATATCAGACTAGAGTCTTTGATTTGATAATGAAACTTTAAAGCAATTCTGATGTCTCATTTTAAATTGGCAATTTTTGTTATAGAGTTTATGTACTATCCCTGCATTTATTCACCCACTGATTAAGCCGGCTATTTTGGTTATTTACTTTCATAGTGTGCAAGATGTGGGCAAATTAAAATATTTGGGAAGGCTTCTCTTTTTTTCTATTATCCTTCTTAAATAGACAAAATATTAGATGCTTGTATCAATTCAATACAATAAATTGTAATTTTTTTTCTTCTGTAAATTTAAATAAACTTTTTAATTTTGGTTGTTTGTCATTTAGCACGTGAAATTTTTTATTTTTTTTAAGTTTGCCAAAGTTTAAAGTAGATTGAATTTCTCAATGTTGAGTAATAGTGACAATGATGAATTGCTCTAATCAGACTAGAGTCTTTGATTGAATAATGAAACTGTGAAGCAGTCCTGATGTTACATTACAAATATGAGTTATCTAATTTTAGCAATTATATCAGCTATCTCTTGTGTAAATTATATCCATTGATTAAGCGGGCTATTCTAGTTTCATAGTGTGGTAAAAGTGGGCAAACTAAATTATTTAGTATTATATACTGTTTCTGCATATATTCAATCACCCACTGATTAAGCCGGCTATTCTAGTTATCTACTTTCATAGTGTGCCAGATGTGGGCAAATTAAAATATTTGGGAAGGAATATCTTTTTTTTCTATTATCCTTCTTAAATTGACAAAACATGATATGCTTGTTTTCATTTCAATACAATAAATTTTAATTGATTTTTTTTTCTTCTATAAATTTTTTAAATAGGCTTTTTATTTAGTTTTGGTACTTTGTTAATCCTTTCTGCCATTAACAGGGCTGATTGTGCTCTAGAAGAAATCCGGATTTCTGGATTTTTCGCTAACAGTGATCCGGAAGTTTCCGGAGATCAAAGGTCCAGGCGTTTCAAAAAATCATTGATCACATAAGTTTACGGAAATCAAATTTTCAAAGGTGGAACTTAGAAACACAGATTATTTTGTTTGTAAGGGAGAGCCTTTCAACTCAGGAAATTTTCCAGAATTTTGACTTGGACTCACAATCACCTCTGCATTAGCACTTTGTTTTTTTTAATTTGACAAAGTTTAAAGTAGGTTGTATTTCTCAGTGTTGAATAATAGTGGTAATGAATTGCTCTAATCAGGAGTCTTTGATTGAAGAATGAAACTGTGAAACCGTCGTGATGGCACATTGCAGATATGAGTTATCTAATTTTAGCTATTATATCAGCTATCTCTTGTGTAAATTGTACCCATTGATTAAGCCGGCTATTCAAGTTATCTGCTTGCATAGTGTGCAAGATGTGGGTAAATTAAAGTATTTCAGGAGGCTCTTAAAAATGTATTTTGCATAATTATTTACTTCTGAAATTGACAAAATATTAATATGGCTCTGTTAAGTTATTCTTTTTCTTTGAAAGTAACTATACTATATTGTTGATACTTCAAATGGGCTATTTTTTATTGTGTATACATTAAGATCATGATGATTTGCTATAATCAGACTAGAGTCTTTGATTTAATAATGAAACTATAAAGCATTAATCTGATGTCAAGATTTATATTGAATTTCTTATTTTAAACTGCTGTACAATTATTTTCAACCATTGATTAGTTTCACTATGTAGTGTGCATGACATGAGTAAGGAAGTTTGTTAAAGAAAAAAAGAGGTTTTGGGGGTTTTGCTGAAAAGTTATTTTTTAAGTCTTTATTTGCAGGATCGTTGTGTTTTTAGAAAAGTGGTTAAATGTGCTAAAACAGGGTTACCACTCCACAGGAAAAACCTGGAAAATACACGGAATTTAAAAATCACCCTAAAGTAACAGGAAAAATACCAGGAATTTTGTTTCTTATTTTTGTCTTTTAAAAAATGGTGACCACTCAAAGCGTAATCTATGGGATATTTACCCATATTTCAGCTATACTGAACTATTTCATTTACTATAACATTATTTAAGTATGTTCAGCAGTTTTTTCCAGCAATTAAAACTAATAAATATAATTAGTCTAATATTATATAGCTCACACCAGAGCACAGAAGTTCTTCCATTGCTTTTTCTCTAGTGTTTTTAGTATTAGTTATTGCTCTCAAAATTTTCAGTGCTCTTAATTTATTTAATGATATTATTTGTTTTAATTCATCTCTTAATGATTTGATTAAAAATTTCAGATTTGTTAAATAATAAGAGTGTAGGGACTGCAAAATTAACTTTTGACAAAAATGTTAAGCTTCAATGTTCATTTTGTTGAAGAAATGATGAACAGTGTAATAAATTAAAATAAAAATTTATTAGGACCATGCTCAGATACTGCATTAAAATATTTGATTTCTAATTGTGGTTCCAAGTAGTTTTGAATTATAGTTCTTAGTGCTAGTTAGTAAAAATTAACTGATGCTTCAAACAATTTTGAAAGTGCTAGATTGATGCTCTAAATTGTTCTTAACATGCAATTGCATCAGTGTAATGCTTAAATTTTAGCAATTGAGTACCTCATATTATTACTCTCTCATGAGTATTAGCTCTAAAAAAAGAGCTAACTTTTTGTTGTCTGGTTCTCTGTCAGCTCTAGTTTCTTTGTAATCTGTATACTATTATTTGGTCTTGTGTTACGTCATCCAAATCTAAAATTTTTTTTTTATTTAAAAAATATATTGTGTCTAGGTGCTAGGGATATGCCTTATTATTTTCCTACTTAAAAGGATTTTTTTTTTCTGATCATATGTAATTCTTGTTATATTAAATACTGCAGAAAAGTTGAATTGTCTTAGGAAGTAAGGAGTTCAAAATATCTTTTTTGTGATGACACGATGACGAGTCTGAATGGATTTCTCGAGTCAGTACTATGCTAGATAGAATGAGTTCTTCATTTCTTCTTGCAGATGTATGCGATTAGAGTTTCCAATTCTGATGTCTTAAGAGGCATTTGTCTGATTTTTTCCCCCTCTTTTTCTAAGTGGAGTCATATCTATTGACAGATGGTTGCGTGATTGTTAGACTGTGTGAATTGTAGTGTTCGGTCATTGCCAACTGTGCATAATAATGCTGTTTTAAGTACTTTGCATAATTTTGCTGTTTTAAGTACTTTAATAAATCAAACTTTATTTGGTTTAATTTATTTGTCATTATTTTATTTTGTAGCAGATTATTTGATTTATCTACGTTAAAATGTGCAGATTTTTCATATGCAGAATTCTCTGGTACGGCTTGCCTAAAACTTTTAGATGCTGTATTGCATTCTCTTACTAAACGAGCCTGTGATGATGTTATACAGATCATATTTCAAATGATGAAAAACTTGTCTGAGACTAAGTTTTTTATAAAATTAATGAAAGAATTATGCTTATAATACACGAATTTAGCATGTGATTTTTGTACATTCATTTTTTTTATAATTTATCTCCAAAATAAAAAAAAAGATATAATTAGTCGTTTTTTTTTAATATTTTTAATTGTAAGAAAACTGAGAAAATGAGGCCTGATGATACAGATCCAATGCTGAGTTTGAATGAAATTTATTTATTTCAGATATTGTCTTTAATTTTGGCATTTAACCTTTCCTTATTTTTGCTTTTTTAAACATGTATGTCTGTGATGAAATAGATCCAACGCTGAGTTGTTTGATGAGAATTTATTTCTGATTGTGTTTTTTAATTTTATTTTGACATTTATTTGCTGCTCTAGATAGTATGATGAAACAGATCCAACGCTGAATTTTCTGATTGAGTAATAAGTCTGATCTTGTAGTTGCAGCCTTTCTTTTATGTTTACGTGTCTTATGTTTGGAAATCCAGTAATATAATAGTAATATTGCCTACATAAAAATTTATGTTCTTAGTTTGAAATGTTGATATTGTGATATTTCAATTTTTGAATTAAGCTTGGCTGTGACTAGTAGTGTTTTATTAGGTATAGTAAATATGTGGCTTTAAATACATACTTTCTCCCTGCAGGTAAGAGACCACAGACAAAAGCTCCTAAAATTCAAAGACTTGTTACACCCGTGATGTTGCAGCGTAAGCGTCATCGTATTGCCTTGAAACGCAAGCGTGCTCAAAAGCGAAAGGATGAGGCCGCTGACTATGCAAGATTGTTGGCACAGAGGGCCAAGGAGGCTAAGGAGAAGAGAGCTGAAGAAGTACGCAGAAGGAGGTCTGCTTCTCAGCGAGAATCTGTGTCATCTAGTGGTCATAAAATGAGTACTAGTAAATAAATGTTCTATTGAATGAAAAAAAAATAAAAGAAATATTGCAATTTGGTTTCTATTTATTAGTTTCGTAAATTAATTTTTTTTTAAATGTGAACTATTATTTTCTGCATAATCAATAAAAAAACTATATATCGGATTGTTTTTAAGGAAAAACAATATTATAGAAATAGGACAAAATTTGATGATGAAGCGAAAAATAACGATGGGTGTAGTAAAGTAATAAAGTTAATGATATAATATACAGATCATTCTCTTGTAAAGAATGTAACGCTGTGAATTTTGGAAAAACTCTGCTACAAAACGCTAGATCGCATTAATTGGTCAAAAAATACGATAAGTTCAGTCTTGAAATATTTTTAGAGTGGCACTCATGAATATCTGTGTGCGTGAAGTTCCTTTTTCGCTGTGGGTTAGAAATCCTGAATATCTTGATAGTATTTTATCCATTCTGTTTCAAATAACGATGGAACCTTAAAAAAAAGCTGTTTTAATTTTATGTAATTCCTGATTTAGAAATTTTATCAATTTAAATGTTACTAAAAAAAAATTTTTTTTTTTTTGAGGCCGTATCCCTAATAGCATTAATTTGTATCAGTCTGATGTTGATTTGTTATTTCGCTATCAACCAACTGCAGCCCAATAACGTAAGTTCCTCATTTTTATTTTGTTGCATATATGTCAGACATAGCTGTCTTAAGTTCTGATTAAATCGTATTTGTTCCGACTTATTAACTTTGTTCCGAAAATACGATTTTAGGTCAAAATGTTCTGAATTTATTGTATTTTTGCACATTTTCACTCTTGATGTCAGTTTTCTTTAGACTGTGGACAGGTCTAGGAACAGGGCATGTGATTTTTTCGAGAATATCGCAGAATTCCGCGTATCTCACGACTATTGGTTTTCGGAATTAATAATCTAAAATTTAATTCGACAGAATTTACGCGAAATCTCTAACAGGGATGTAATTTTCCCCCCGTTTATTTCCGCCGAAATTTTTTTTTAACAAGTATAAATATTTTATAATTTTCCGCGGTGCGAAAGTATTGAAGTCATCATCAAAAATCATTTCCTTGTGATAAAACTGACCTTGATACAGGGATGTGATTTTTTTCGCTTTTGCCTCTCGAATTTCAGCCTTTTTATCAAGAACGTTTTTTTTTTCAATAAATTTCCCGTTTTTGTTTTTTGAAAATTCAGTCGTTGAATTAAAATAATTATATTTATTTACGATTTTCAAAGATGAACAGAAAATTCGAACTACGTCCTAGCTCCTAACCCTTCCCTTACTTTTAATTATTTTAACTTTTCTCTTAAACGCACAGAAAATAAGATTTTCCGTTATTTTATTCGACAGCCGAATAGCTCGATATTCTCGCAACTCAGACGTCGTGACCTTGTTTTCTGGCATGAAAGCTAACGAAAAAATAAAGGTGGATTTGCGGAGAAAATATTTACAGGGTATCCGCGCATCTGGAAAGTCATGAATTTCGGTATTGAACAAAATTTGTCATGATTTTAACTATTTTTGTTAGAAAATCATGGATTTAGGTCGCTGAAAAATCTAAGTTTTAAAATGGAATTTAAAAATACCCCCCCCCCCCCTCATTTCATGGTGTTCCGAATATCTGAATTTGTAATAAAATCCTCAGTAACGGTCATATTTTATTAAAATATAAATTGTTTTTATCCTGTCCTTTAAAAGTTATGATTTTCTTTCAAAAAATGAAACAAACATTTCTAGAGCGAATTTTTTAAATTTCTGTGATTTCAGATTTTTTTTTTTTACAGGGTTCCCGCGGTCCTTGAAAGTCCTTGAATTTTTTTTGCTAAATTCAGGTCCTTGAAAATGCTTGAAAAACGTCTTAGGTCCTTGAAGAACTTGATAGGTCCTTGAGTTTGTCCAATACTGTCGGCGGCCCTTTTTATAAAACACCCGCGGATCTTTCTGTTTCGTTCCCGAGCTCTCTCACGTGGTTTTTAACGCCACCGTTTCTAACCCTGCCTAGCGTCTTGGTTTCTGCCAAGCGCGCGGAGCGCAGCAGACAATCAATGCGTTCGGGGCGAGACTCCACTTCATCNACTCTCTTCTCTCTATATAGGCAAAGCATTTAGGTATTATATTTGAAATTAATTATTGCCACAACAAGCATTGTTGCTTCTAGTAAAATAGAAGAGAATAATTTTTAAAATTGGTCTTAGATTAAGGTCCTTGAAAATTTTGTTGAGGTCCTTGAAAAGTCCTTGAATTTCAATCTCATCATAGAGTGGGAACCCTGTTTTATCAATTTAAAATTCTAGCCGAAGCAAGCCAATCATTGGCGAATTTTTTTTATTCCAAAATGAGAACAGAAAAATCAGGAGTATTTCTTTCCTTTCAGAGGAACAAGAAAAGTATCTTTAGAATGTAATTCTGCAGAAAAAAATTATTTGCTTTTGTATTTTTTTCAGCTATTTTATGGCTTCAACTCTTTTCTTTACTCTGTTTTTTCAGAGTATAACAGTTTTGGCTATACCTATCATTTCAATTTATGTTATTATAATGCTTTTTTCAATTTCTTGTGTTTTTGTCGGAGAAAATAGTAACTTTGTTAAGTCATGAAAAATTCTAGGAATTAGTCATGAATTTGAAAATCTAAAATGTAGCAGATACCCTGTATTTATTTGCTCATTCAATTAATCTTGTAAATTTTTATTTATTATGTCTAAACAAAACAAACAAGCCTTTTAGAAATCGTAAGTCCAGACTGCAAATATCTCGATTCTTATTCACGCGATTTTAATACCAATCATCGATTTTCGTTTTTACACGATTTAAAAGTTGCACATTGCGATTCTTATTTACTCTATTTAAACATCGTACATTATGATTCTTATTTACGAGATTTAAAAATCCTATATCGCGATTTTGTATTTACGCGCTTTCAAAACCCTATATAGCGATTTATATTCACGCGAGCTTAAAATCCAATGTGATTCGTTTTTGCAGTTGTAATATCAGACATCGATTTTCGTATTTATACGTGCTTTAAAAATTAGACATGGTGGTCTGTATTCGCGCGATTTAAAAATTATGCATCGTGATTCGTATTTTTTAAAATTCGATATAGAGTTTCATATTCACGTGATTTGGATTCATATTCTCTCAATTTAAAATTCATGTGATTCATATTCATACAATTTTAAAATTATCGGGATTTATAATCGTATGGATTACAAGTTTAAAAATCGAACTTTTTTTGTCAAATTTTTGTGCTTTTTTTTTTTTTTTAAATCCCTGAACTAGGCATTTACATATATGTAATTCTCATTCCAATTTGATTTCTTTGGATTGGCTAACTTGGATTAACAAGTTCAAGAACTGCTCCAGAATCTGGTTATATCGCGATTCTTATTCCGGCAATTTTAATATCGGTCGTAGATTTTCATATTAAAATAACCGAGTTAATACCAAATAACGGCTATCTGATTTATAAGTAACGTGCTGCAATTGGTTTTCGCGAGATTTAAAAATCGTCCATCGCTATAGCTATTCAATGTAATTTAAAAATCCAGTATTGCAATTCGTATTCATGCGATTAAAAAATTAGGTATCGTGATTCTTATAAACGCGATTTAAAAATTCAATATCGTAATTTGTATTAGCGTGTTTTTAAAATCCAATATCGCGATTCATATTCATGCGATTTTGAATTTCAATATCCCTATTGAGAGCAATTAGATTTCTTGAATCAGTTATAAAGATTTGATATTATTAGTAAGCAATTTAATTAAATCTGTTAGCTTAAAAATTATGTTAAAGTTAGTTAAATGGGTATGGTTTATGGATATTTTGTTTTTCACTTAGTATCATATTTTCCCCTGATTGGCTTAACACGCTTTGTGTTCCTATTTTTGTTTTTAACACGACAACACGTTGGCAGCTACTGTTTGTCTACGATAGGTACTCTGTCCGCCACAAAGTCNAAACAGTATGACTTGATCAACAATAAAATTTTCTGCGGCAAGTCTAATTGTCGAAGGCAAGAACATGATTCCTACTCATGACGGCTGCCCCATTTGGTCTGAGTGCTATTAAAACTATATTTTTGGTGATACGGATTTTTAATATGCTCAATTACCTCCTGAAATAGTGACATACACTGGTTGTATTATTAGTGGCTTAAATTTTTGGCCGCTTTTTAATTTAATTTTTGCAGCTAGCTCCTGCTTTTAAGGGTAATTAAGTTGAAAACAATATATATGTTTTGTCTTACCTGAAGACTTGATCTAATGATCGGATTTACGTGTTCTAGAACTCAATCTTAATGGATCGGGAGGTGATCTCATTGCAACAAGTACGAATCCTTTAAGTAATAAAATCGGGGATGACGGATTCAGATTTCTGACACTCGAGGTATGGGCCCAATCGTTACATCCCAAGATTGGATCCCTTAATGTTAATTTTCGCTTATTTCACCAAATTTTGAGAATTTTATAAGCGAATTGAAGAAATTTTGCTCACTTATAAAATCAGGGGTGATTGTGAGCCTAAGTCAAAATTCCGGAAAATTTCTTGAGTTAAAAAAAAAACAAAAAACAGTTTAAATCGAAAAAAATTTAAACAAGAATTTTTTCCTATATTTCTTAGTTTACTTAAAATATATTTAAAATTTTACACATACCTATACCATTTACACATAGCTAGGATGACCTGGAGAAGTAATTAAAATTTACAAATATGTCTTTCTTTCTTGAGTTTATGATTATAACAACTATTTACTGATAAAAAATGAATATTAATCATGAATATAAGCTTTATCTCTCTGGCTCTCCCTTACAAACAAATAAAATAAACTGTGTTTTTAAGTTCCACCTTTGAAAATTTGATTTCCGGAAACTTCTGTGATAAATGATATTTTGAAACGTCTGGACCTTCGATCTCCGGAAACTTTCAGATCACTGTTAGCGAAAATTCCGGAGCACAATCACCCCTGTAAAATTTATTCCAGGCAGAATATAGCTTACAGTAAATATTTTATTTAATAATAGTCTAAAAACGTATGAATTATAAGGAATACTTTTTATTTACATTTTGAATGCCAAAATACAAATTTAGAGAGAATCCCAACAGGAACTAAGACCAATTTCGTTCAAATTCTGTACTTTGCCATGAAAAATTATTCCTTAAAATGATTTAAAAAATTTATATCTTTAATTCAAAATTTTCACTAAAAGTTATTTTGCATGGAATTGATTACCTTTAGATATTTTATAATTGTGTATGAAAATTTTTCTATTCGTTTAAAATATTCTCGAGGTGTGGAGAAATGCGCAAAAATTATAACTTAACATTCATAATTCTGGCGTCAAAAAATTTGTCTGATTTCGTAACTTTGTCTGCACTACTTTAGATCACCCTTTTGAGATGGAGACAAAAAAATGTGAAGATCACTTCATTATATCAAAAGTTTTTCTGGGTGGTCTTTTTTATTTTGTACTCTGTACTTCAAATGTTTGTTTATTCGTATGAGATTGCATAAAAGATAGAGCATTTGAATTATAGCTGAAGCTCTTTTGGTAGGCTGCATTAGCCATCAATATTTTTATAAACTTCTACTGCAATAATTTTTTCTTTTGGCTGGAAGATTAGGATGTAGAAAATTAATTTACAGGTCAAAAATCTTCATATTGGTTCAGAATGCTCAGTAATAAAGTTTTAGATTAAAACACCATAAAAAAATGAAATAATTTAATACATACTTAACTGTCAACACTACTGGATTTTGCCAGTTTCTCCTGGTTTAATGGTTTGAAAAAAATTCTGGTTTTTGTAAGTTTTTGAAAATTCCCTAAAATTGAGTTAGTTTTCTAAAAAAATACCTATTAAAAATAAAATCTTTACTTTAAAAAATAGACTCTTTATCGCTTGCACATTTAAATATGTGTTACTAATACATAATAAAGCTAGCCTCATTTCTAAACATCAGCTTAAAGATTTTTTTGATCTAAAATTATGAGTAGCCATAATACATAAAATTTCAATTTCATTTAATGTCAACAAAAACTGTAAAATAGTGCAGTTTTTTTCTATTTTGATGACTATAAAAATTTCTAAACTTATGTGCAAAATATTTAGTACATTTTGTAACAATTATTGTGAAATTTATATTATTGCGTAAAATCTGGATTTTTTCCTACACGTGTTGTCAGCTGTCTTTTACAATTAAAACAGTTATGTTAATTGCGTAATAAAAGAGAAATATTTAAAATTAGTTTAATATTACGCATAGCACTAATGAGGTTTTAGTATTTTTTGGTGAATCATAACTATTATAGAACAAAGCAATAATTCTACTAGAAATGGTTATGAAATAAATATTTAACTTCATTGAGGCTATTAAGAGAGCACAGCCTGGCATTACACATTTGCTACGCATGAACCCATGCTGTTAAAATTTTCTGTTCTAAAACAAAGTGATTCTGAAATTCAAAATAGTGCATTTTATTATTTTTTTTCAATAAAATTTACTTTTATTATGCTTCTTTGTATGGTTTGCTGTTCACAAATAATAATTATTTACAATTAGCCTGATACATGCAAACTGCTCAGAAAAAAGTTCCAATTCTTCTTTTAGAAAAATGTTATTCTGATTTTTTCTTCGACCCCATTACACAGTTTAAAAACAAAATATATTTTAAAAGAGCAATTTCGCTTTATACAATTTTTTTTATTTTATTATTATTTTTTTTTACAGAAATCAATGAATGCATGAACAAATAACAATGAAACAAATAATGATTAATTCATTTCCATCATTTTTTCTTCTTGCTTTTCTTCTAATGTGTCCACATTCATTTCTTCTTCTTTTATTTTCATTTTGTCTGTGGCTAAGAAAAGAAATGAATTCAAATCAAAATTCATAGATAATAAAATAATAACCACCCAAAACACAATTTATACAATGCATAGTTTCATATTCATTGTCCTAATGTGCTTGAAAAAAGGGCATGTCTCAAATTGCACATAAAAAATGGTTTACAATTTTGAAAATTCCAAGTAGAAAGAGATAAATTGACAAATATAAAAATCGGCTGAATAGCAATTTTATTTTTAGAAAAATAATCATAACTCTGCAGCAAAATTGATATGGGTAAAAGGGAAAATACTTTAATTGAAATGTTTAAGATGATTAGATATTAAGATAATTAGAAATATTTAATATAAAACAGACTAACAGCAATTGAAAGGAACAGCGTAAAGTCGAAAAAAATATCCCCTTTATTCTTACAGAGCTATCATGAACGCCCATAAAAAACAAAGATTATATACAAAAGCAATACAGAAAAAATAAAAATCGATCTTAATTTTTTAAAACTAAACATTTCAGTTTGCCAATTACCCTATTTTCAAGAAAAAAATAAAGATAAATTCTAATAGAAACTCTCTTAATTGCCTTGGTCATAATTAAAACATATATAAAAACAATATTACTAGATATGTTTGCAATTTCAATATGTTTTTAGAGCTAGATAGAAACCGAAACGAAAATCGCTCTTAGTTTTTAAACGAAAGATTTAACACTAAAAATCTTAATTTAACTTTTTCACACTGCCATAGAAAAAAGTGACCATAAAAGATCTGGTACTAGTTGTGCATCTTACCTAACAAGAAGAAAGTGACAATAAAAGAATAAAGTCAATTTGAAATGCTCCGCAATTTGACATGCTTTGCTTTAGTTAAAAAAGAAAAAGAAGCAAAAATTAAAAAAAAAACAAAAAAACTTTTCGATTTTTAAAATATTGAGAGTTGAAAAAATGATGAACTTAACTTGCCTGAATATAATTAAAAAAAGAAAAAAAATCCGCATTACAAAACTTATGATTCAGTATAAAGTAATTTAGTTTCATTTCTGAAAATTTTGCTTTTCTAGTTATGTGTCAGCCAACAGGTTTTGGAACTTAAGTTAACAAGAGAAGACAAGTTAACAAGTTTTAGAACTTAATAAATCTGTGAAAAAACAATTTTTAATAATGTATAGCAAAAAATACGATTTAAGACTTAAATTTAAATCTTTTAAAGTTTTTACCAAAAAAAAGAAGAAAAAAAAGAAAAAACTTTGTTGAAAAATAATTACTCAAATAATATCAAGCCAAATATTTGGCAGAATATTTGTTACATATTTACTTCAGAGCGTTAGATCTTCTAAACGTACAAATAATTTTATACATAAATATACTTGTAGAATATGTTCCATAAACTCAAGTAAAACGATATTAAATTGTTAATAATAGTTGACTAAGGTCGACACCCAGTTAAATAAAGGCTAGTAGTAGAAAATCTGTTGGATAAACAGGAATATTGAAAATGTTGTTTTAGAGTAGCTTTTGCCAAAGTTATGAAACTTAATAAATTTTTCATTAAATATTGAAACAATATAGTGTGGTCAGAGCCGGATTATACCTTTCGTAGGCCCTAGGCATAGCCATTTTAGGGGCCCTCCCTCCCCTCTTTTCAAAATATATGCTAAAAGTTTCTTGCATATTTTTTTTTTTACATTTTTATTAATGTAGATTTTAATTTACAAATTTGTTTAGCGAACTTCAAGATAAATTTAATTTCGATAGTTATTAAATATAAACAAGGTTATCTTTAATGACTATCGAAATTAAAAATAAACTTGTGAATACTTTTCCTAACGTTCACATTGCATTAAGAATATATTTGTCGATTCTTGGATCAAATGCAGAAGGAGAAAGATCTTTCTCCAGATTAAAATTGATAAAAAATTATTTGCGTTCAACAATGCATCAAGATCGTTTCGCATCGCTCGCACTTATGTCTATTGAATACGACATTTTGCGTAGTTTGGAATTCGATAGCATAAGACAAGATTTCGTTGAATCCAAAAATCGCAAAAAAGTAATATATTAGATCAGGGGTTCCCAACCTTCTTGTACCTAAGAGCAAATACCAGAATATCGGTCGAATGGCGGGCACCATTTATTTTTTTAAGATAAATTTATAGTTGATAGACGTAGGTAATAATACACACTGCATATAATGCTCAAAAAATTTTATTTTAAAAATTAATTTAACTTAGGAATTTAATTAGTATTAATATTCTTGTCTAAAATAAATGATTACTAAATTGCTTTTTCAAACCATGCGAAGCATAAAAACTATTTATAAAGTATATAAAATACAGTCAATGTGGTCTTTAGCATTGCATTTCACTGGCCAGCTCGTCATAATTGGGAGAATATGGTGAAATTCCTGCTCGCAAGCAATCGTCAAGGTGTTCATCTGTAAGTCGGGACTATATTTTGATTTTATGATATTTATTGTCGAAAGCAGTGATTCACACAAGTATGTGGAACCAAAAAGCGACTTTATTTTATATGNATTGAATACGACATTTTGCGTAGTTTGGAATTCGATAGCATATTACAAGATTTCGTTGAATCCAAAAATCGCAAAAAAGTAATATATTAGATCATAAGATTCTGCAAAATAATTTATTACCGAAAAATATTATATTTTTCTCCCAAGTTTTTCGTAGGCCCTAGGCATGTGCCTAGTGTGCCAATAGGCTAATCCGGCCCTGAGTGTGGTCAATTAAGTTGAGCCCTGTTATAATAAACCTGGGTTTAAGTGAACACCCCGTATCATTTAAGTAACAGTCTTTTATAGTGTACTTAATGTTCGTTTTCCTTTCATTTCTCCAACTTTAATTAGCAAGAGTTGCGATTAAAAATGACGGTACTTCTTCACATTTCGTCAAATATTTATTTTGCATGCTCTTCCCTTTTAAACTAAGGCGAACAATCGCCTAGTGGCATATATGACTTTCCTTAAGAACAAAAAATTCCGGCAACTTTTAAGTCAGAAGTGAAACCAGCCTTAAAGATTCTGATTCTTGTAGAAAATACTGGATTCTTAACTAATTGTTGATATCAAAATTGTTGCTTTACTTAAAAACTAAAGTGAAATCCATTGAAAAGAACTAATTTCTTCCATCAAATGCAAAAATAATAATAATAGAGCGTAAATTATATATTAAATTAGTTAATAATTCATAAACAATTTAAATACCCCCTATTGTAACCACTATTTCCAATAATACTATTGCCATAAGCCAAAAAATAGTCTATCAACTTACAAAACTGAAATCACTCCTTAAGAGCTAATCTGAAAGCTTAATATTCTATTTCACATTGTAATTTGCTAAGATTTTTTAAAATTCCAAACGCAACTAAATGTATTAGAAAAAAATTAATTTGTGAACAATCCTACAATTTAACATATTTGCAGATATTGATTTGTTAATTGGATTGAAATCCTTTTAAATAAACAGTAAAAAAGAGATCAATTCAAATTTTTGGGACAACTAATCTTTTATCATATAAGATTTGATCTTCTAAAAACAGTCAATAAGCATTTAAAAAAAAAAAAAAAAAGACCAAAAGATGTTGGAGGTGACAGATGTTGGAGGTGAGAAAAGGACCATTTGGGAGCCCAATATAAATACTCAAGACCATTACAGGCAAGTTGCAATTTTACTTTTCTTTTTAAAATAAATATTACTATCAATCTCAACACATCTTACATTATTAAAACTTCTATTAAAAGAGATTCATATTTTTTACAATAATTAGTACTTCTTACGGTTAAATCCTCGCCCCTTGTTTTATGTCTTGATAGGAAGAGAATGTCGGACTTGAAGCATGAAAAAACACCCAGAGAGTCATACTGATTTTTTTAATCACCAATATACTCTATTTTATCGATTTTTTTTTTTACCTAACCTTATCAGATTAAAATATTTTTTTAAAAAAAGTAATTGAAGTGAAACATACCAGCAACAGATCTGATTAGAGACATATCTCTTTGTACTTCCTTCAAATCCAATTCTTTTGCAAGAACCTTGCCCTTTTTTAATCTACAAGAAAAAAATTTGACATTAATTAAAGTAGTTTTTAAATACTACATTGTAAGAGTTTTATTATAATACTTTAATATACACTTTAGTTGTAAAATTTTTTTTTCTAAAGCGTTCACATACTATTTTTTTCTTTTCTTTTTTGAACCAACAATTCAATCAGCCATGTAGGATGGATAATAATTTTTTAAAAACTTGTAGATTGTTTTGTGATAAGAATGTCAATTTCCTCATGAAAAATGTAGTTATTAAAATGGTTAAATGGTGTAAAAAGTGCCATATCATTAGTTGGATATACTTCTTATGATTACACTAATATAATTAAAAGGATAGACACGAGGAGGCAAAACAGAAGAAAAAGAGGATACATCTGTGAAAAAAAAAAGTTAAAAGAATTTTAAAAACAATTAAGACTTTCGTGCATAGCAAATTTATTAACTACAGGGTATCTACAAGATCCCATGAAAAATAATCATAACAAATTTTTATGATCTAATTTTAAAGTCATTTTACTTAAATTATTCAATTTATTTAAATATTCTTGAATGTATTTTACATTCACATGATTAGTGGAATATAATAATAATAATTAAAAAAAAAAAAACAGCAGAAATTTTTTGGTGAACAATTATTGCTATATTATAGGGTGAAATTTCGACGACATGCTTCTCTGAAGCATTATACATTATTCGAACAGACACATACAGCGTTATTTTTCTATGCAATTTGCATGGGGCACTTTATCAGTAAAAATTCAGTTAAGTCTAAAAATAGATTTAGAATATTATCTAACAGTTAAAAATTATCTCTTCTTCAGCTCTTCTAACAATAAAAATTAGACACGAGAAGACATAGAAATGTTAGCTCAGAATAATCTCCCCTAAAAAGGGAGAAAAAAATCTATACATTTTAATGTGGGGCTGAAAAAAATAAATTTCAAATTTTTGAAATGTTTCTCAGCCACCGTTTTATCATTTGTGAGCAGTTAGAAGAAGCACACGCAGAACATTCAGCATCATCTGTACTGTTGTTTTTCAAATTAGTGTGCTCATACCGCTGTCCCTGCTTTGTCAAAAAAGTTCACATTTTTCTTTGAGAACAGTTATTTTAAATTCGCTATGCTAGAACATTAAGCTTCAGTTTAACTAAATTTCCATTCTGTTATGCAAATGAATCGGAAAAATTCCTGCTTTTTGCAGAAAAGACAGCCCGTTAGCCCTCCAATCCTACAATGATTTCCGATTATGTTTTTCTGTAGTTACTTATCGTTATTTTGGCCATTTTCAGGACTCAATTTAAGTGATCGAAAGTCGTACAACACAAGTAGAAAAACCACTGCAGTCGCTTTTTCTCTTCTCAGTTTGTAGCGTATTTTGCTACTCTTTAAAAAAGTAGTGCAGAGAGTAGAGCATTAATAAAAATTTTAAAAAAAAAACAGCAGTTTGCGTGATTTTCTGGCAACTATTTTTAGTGTTAGTTTAGAAAAGAAACACAATTCTAAAGAAACAAACTTTCGCTGATCTATCAATGCATGCAATGAAAATGATCCTGTGGCGGCAGCTGAGCATTAACAGAAATTACGTATTCAAAATTACATATAACTAATATTTAATGTAGCCAAGGAATGTATTTTTGACGTACCTTTTTTTAGAATGAAATAAAACAGTATTAAACAATTAAAAAATTACAAGTATTTGATAATTTCTCATTTCTTAAATTATATATTCACAGTTGAAAAACGCATAAAAAGTTGAAAGTTATATGAACAAAAAAAAAAGTATTTTGGAATAACAAACTGGCTCATGTAAACAAAAATAAATATTTCTTAATTATTCACTTATATTTAATGTAAGCCAATCTCTTATTCAAAACCATTTTGAGCATCTGAGTTAATTAAGCCCTCCAATAAAGCTCACCTCCCTAAAGTAGTGAAGTAGTTGCTACAATTCCAAAGTAGTTAGTAATCACTAGGACTGGGCTATAAACCGACCCGTCGCGAAATACCGATTCAAAGCATATATCGGCAGGCCGATATAATGACTTTCCTTTTAGGCGATGCATCAGAAATCTGATTTAAGCTGCCGAGAGTGACTCTCGCTTTAGGCGATGCATCAGAAATCTAATTTGGCCATCATGTTAGACAACACTTGAGGTTTAACGATATAATATGTGAGAATTCTTGCCTAAGCTGACGCTGTACCGAGGTGACGAAGACGTTTTCGATTTTGCCTAACCACGGAGCTGTTGATAGCGCCTAGCTACGAAGACGATGTAACTTTCATGGTGTCGAATAACGAAAAGCGAATTAAACCAGAATGCCCGGTTTCTTGTGAGGATCGGTGTTGAAACAGAACGCTATGCATAGTTTCTTTATGCGCGATATTTGTCTTTGGAAGTTTACTTTTCTAGAAGATTATTTTCAGCTGGACTTACTTTATATTGTGATCACCGTGCACTTTACTACTTAGCGATCGTTTCATTGTGCATTATTTTGTCACTTTTTCTTTCTTTTCTTCCTCTCTGTTGTCTGTCGGGATATAACGATTTTTGTCAATTATTTTTAGTAGATCTACTGTTATCGGCGATTGTTGTGCATTCGCTATTGTCTTAAATTTTCGTTCTTTGATCTGTACTCAATCTATTTATGAAAAGAAAGCATGAATAAAAAAAAGATTCTAAATTTTTTTAAACTATTGTTTATCATTTTAAGCGAAACAATTTAAAAGGGGTATTTTTTATTTAACTTTGCTATAAAAAGTTAGTTTTTTTTAAAAAATTCATCTAATGCACGTAAGTATAATAATTTGATAGAATATGATTATTTTTAAACAAATAAATCTTCAGCCGTTTTTAATTTTAAAAAATTTGGTTATTAGTTAAAAAAATATTTTTTTATTGAATAAAAAGTGAAGCAATGTTTGACGCTTTTTAATAATTTAACAATAGTACTCAAAAGTTTTTTTTTTAAAAAAAGTTTTTATCTTAACTAATAATTTTAATTCTTTATTAACTCTAATAATTTTAACTCTTTTGAATTAAAAATTAAACCTAAAAAGTTTTTAACTGTGTAATATCTTAAAAAATCCCCTCTAAAACCTATCAGTTTAAAAAAAAAAAAAAACCTGTTGAGCTTTCTATTAGGGGAAAAACTCTGACGCCCCTTTTGCATACGCAGGGGTGATTGTGAGCCCAAGTCAAAATTCCGGAAAATTTCTTGAGTAAAAAAAAAACACAGTTTAAATTGAAAAAAATTTAAACAACCCTTTTTTTTATCTTCCTTTTTCTCAATATTTCTTAGTTTACTTAAAATACATTTAAAATTTTACACATACCTATGATGACCTGGAGAAGTAATCAAAATTTACAAACGTCTTTCTTTCTTGAGTTTATGATTATAACAACTATTTACTGATAAAAAATGAATATTAATCAGGAATATATGCTTATAAAATATCTCTCTGGCTCTCCCTTACAAACAAATAAAATAAACTGTGTTTTTAAGTTCCACCTTTGAAAATTTGATTTCCAGAAACTTCTGTGATCAATGATTTTTTGAAACATCTGGACCTTCGATCTCCGGAAACTTCCGGATCACTGTTAGTGAAAATTCCGGAAATTTTCCGGAAAACAATCAGGCGATATGCATAAATGGATTGCAGTTTAGTTAACTTTGAAAATGTTTAAAGGAACAATGTGAAAACCATGTTTTTTCATAATTCATATACTTTTTGCATTATGCATAGAAGAAAAAAAAATCACATTCTGGAAAAGGGAAACTAAGCACTTTTTAAAAACACCAAATGAAAACGCTATGCACCTTGTCTATTGTGACTTTTATGATTTTTCTGATTGATATCCTCAACCATCAACAGTTTTGCTGAAACACTGCTTTATTTGGAGAAAAACAACAAATTTAATATTTCAGCAATATTTACTTACTTTTATAATAAGAGTAGGGAGCATTATACAACATAGAATACACCATTATACATCAAAAGAAGAAACTATACTTTAAAAACTTTAGCAGGACTTTTAATTTCATTAAAAAATATTTCACTGATCTGAGTGGTAGTAGCATAGAGAAAAAAATGCAACAAACATTTTTCAGAAAATCAACCTTGTGTAATAAGTCCTAAATGTTACAGAATTCAACTATGAATAACAAAATAAAATTGAGAAAAGCATTGACAGAATTAATTTGTTATTTGGTTAATTTACTCCTTAATGAAATTCTTTTCCTTGCAAACTTTAAGAAAAAAATAATGGCTTAGTTCAAACAGGGGTCTCTCTTGGTTTTTCTGAAAGGTACCTATTTTGTGAAAATTTAGACATAATTTGTGAAAATTAAAATTATATTAAAAAAATCAACACAAAAATATGGATTTATCCGCAAGTTGAAGTTCCGCTACATGATAGTAAATTTGGCCTAGACAGACTCCTGTCAAATGAACAATAATTGCATGACTTTTTTTTGTTTTGTTTTGTTGAAATTCTGAAATATATAACCCTAGTCTTAACATCTTTTGAAAAAAAAAAAAAAAAAAACTGTAATAAGAACAAACAAGAGTAAATAAATTATAAATTGTATTAGTTATTCATAATCTCATACCCTCTACTTTTAGTTTTTGAGGGCTGTATTGCATCAGGTAATGCTTCGGTGTCTTTGTCAGAATTTGGCTCTTCAAAAGATCCATTGTCTTCCAAATCAGGAGAGTCCACACTTTCTTCATCAGAAGTTGAATAACTGTGAGGAAAAAAAAATATTAACCAACATTTGAAATGCCTAAAACAGCTGTCTCAACAAATATTTAGTTAAAAAACTTACAAGGCTTAATTTTATGATAAAAAACTAAAACTTTCAATTAAAAAAAAATCCAAACAAAATTAAAGCAATTTTAAGAATAAATAGATAATATTTCTCCTTTTTATGACAAGACTAATATATTCTATACTATTTATAGGCTTCATTGTATAGTACACAAAAAAAAAAAAAAAAAAAAAAAAAAAAAAAAAAAAAAAAAAAAAAAAAAAAAAAAAAAAAAAAAAAAAAAAAA